GGAGGGGACGGGAGGAAAGCAACAGGAAAGTAGGAGGAAGAGAAGCCAAAAAATAAAAAGAAAAGAAAAGGAAAAAAAAAGCAAGAAAGCTCTGGGAAGCAGGGTTCCCTTGGGGGCTCCGCTTACAACACCTGAGCAGGGACCCCGGGAACAAAGCGGCTTCAGGTTAGAAGTGCTCTGGGTATTTCCGACGAGGGGCGCTCGGGAGAAGCCAGGCCGGCCAGGGATGCCGGGCGCCCCTGCGCGTTGGGCGCCACTTACCTTAGCCGGGGCCGCCGGCGCGCACTTCCGGGGGCTGCACTCGGGGCGCGCGGGGCCGAGCAGGGGGACCTGGACCGATCACCAAGGGAAAGACGCCCCAACGCGCTGCCCCAGGCTTGGGTTGGCACCAGCACGTCGAAGGGAAATCCCGCAGAGGGGCAGTCAGGGTGGACCGGGACTAGGCTGGGGACGCGGGGTCCCGGCCTCTGCGCTCACGGACTGCCGCGCGGAGTCCCGCGGACGCTGGAGGAGCCCGAGTCAGTGGGAGGAAAAGGTTGTCTCATTTCCTTCGGTCTCCCCCCTCCTCCACCTCCTCGGCTCCGGACCTGCCCTCCCTCTCCCCCGCCCCCTTCCCCAGGCCCATGTGGGCGCTCGCAAGACGCGAAACCTGAACGGCTACGGCGTGCGGCGCCTCCCACCGCGCCAAGTTAGTTCACGCTCCAAACCCCTGCACGCCTCCGTGCGCTTCTGACTGTAGCCCGGGCCGGGGAGGCTCCCTATGGGCCGTCCCCACCCTGAGCCGGAGCTTTAGCCTTTCCAATGCTGAGACGAGCGCAGATATGAAAGCAGACCTCCAAGCCAGCATCCATCCTCTCGTTCCTGTCCCTTACCCTTTTTGAGCTTGTAGGAAACCATCCGACCCAGACAGGAAATAACCACTTAGTTAAATTTGAGCAACTTTTTTTTTCTTTCGAGTGGGGAGTTTAAAGCCTGCTGTATAATCTCAAAGGAATGTTCATTTTTATCAGAAGGAGAGCAGCTGAGGCCTTTGTTTGGCCTTGCTCATTCAGGGTTGAGGTTTTGTTTGTAAAATTCAACAAGTGTTTGTGGAGAATCTTAGAGGCGCTGAGCTGGGTGCTGAGAGCACAGCAATGAACCAGAAGGGCACCCTGTTCCTGGAGAATGATCACAGGTGATTGGTGCAGAGAAAGAGGAGGTCCGGGGTGGAATGGTGTTTTACGAGGTGGGTCAAGGAAAGCAGAAGCTTTCTATGCCCCCAAAACCGCATGGGGCATGGGCTGAGGCACACAGGAGTGAGAAAGCCCTGTCAGGAGTCTAGCAAAGACCACAGCCACCGCAAGGGGAGCAAGTCAGGGTGGGGAACAGGGAAAAGAACCATTGCCCCAGTGCATGCAGAGAACGGTGGGATGGGACTGACAAGATCTGAGTGAGGGCTAAGGCCAGATGGGGTGGAAATGAGAGGATGAGAAAGAGAAGTAACTCCCAGCACTCTGGCTGAAGAACCAGAAACCAAGGGGTTGACCACAGCCCTAGAGCACCTTCTGGAGCCACTTTTCCAAGAGTGGCCCAGGGACTGGCAGTCTTAACATCACGTGGAAGCTTGTTACAATGGTGATCCTCAGCCCAGTCTGGTGACACACAGTCTGTAGCAAACTGAACTGTAGAGCTGGAAGCCATATGGCTGACAGTGGGCTCAGATCGCTGGGTCACCTCAAAAAGGATGTGTGTGTGTTTATGTTTGCCCAAGATCCCAAAGAGCTGGAAGGGAAAGGAAAAGGGATCATTGTGGTGTGACAAGATCCTGTTGAGGGTACACCTTTCTCTATAATCTGTGTGCATATGCTATCTTGCATAAATAAAATAAGAACTTAAAAAAAAAAAGCTAAAGAAATGGAGGCCTTGGGCCCCACTTGACCTGCTGAATCAGAATCTACATTTTAAAGAGATCCCCAGATGATTCAAATGTGCAGTAGAATTTTTTTTAGAATTATTTAATTTTTTATTTATTCATTCATTTATTTTAATTTAGCCAGAGAGAGTGCGTGAGAGAGAAAGTGAGAAAGCAAGATCCGGGACTCAAATCGTGGTTGGCCATGTGGGAGTGTCCAGCACCTTAACCACCACGCCACCTGCTGGTCCCCTGTGCATTAGAATCCGAAAGCACTGCCCCCTAGGCCACTGACAGTACATTAGACCTACTCTATTAGGCTGCGGAGCCCTATGACTGACTATTAGAAACACCTGGGGGAGCTCAGAAACCAACAGAGAACCCCAGCTCCACCCCCACAAATACTTACTCAGTTAGTCTGGGGTAGGGCTTTCACATAAGTGTTTTTGAAATGTTCTCCAGATGATCTCATACAGCCAGAGTTGAGAACCACCATCCTAGCCTTATTCAAAAGCTACTTCATTTAACCTTGAAATGCAGCTCTTCAGAAAGGAAAATAACACTTATGTGTAGATGAAAACACAAAGACAAGTTATCTCACTCTCGTACAGAGGCAACTGGTCTGTGGAAAAGGCCCTTGTTTCCCAAACTAATCAGGAAATTGGAGTCGAGCTCAGACAATCTCTAAATCACTATCTGAACTTGGGCATGGACTCCCCTCAGACCTTGGGTTCTTTATCTGTAAAAAGAGCACACAGCTGCCTCACTCCACATTCCTTACCCTGACGCGCAACGCGTCATCCTCATAGCCCCCCCCCCCTCCAGTTTTCTCAGCAGGCAGTGGAGAGGCAATGTTGAGAAGTTTCCTGGTGAAATACTACGTGTGCCAGTCCAGGCACACCCCGGCACAGATACCAAAGGTGGGAGGACTGTGTGCTGAGCACAGGAGCACCACACAAAATCGGTGCTCACTGAATGTACATTGAATGAATAAACAAATAAATAAATAGCCCACATATGCCAGTGGGTGAGAGAAGAGGGATGCCAGGGTCTCTTCAGATTTGGAGTCAAAGAGTGGCAAAGCTTTCTACACGGTAAACATGGCTTGGACAGAGGCATGAAGAAAGGAGTAAGCCCCATCAAGAGGCAGTCTAGCAAAGAATGCAGCCGGGGGACTGCATGATGGTGGGGAACGAGGTGGAGAATGGTGTGCCAGTGCTTGTAGGAGCAGTGGGAAGGAGCTGACCAGATCTGGTGGCCCAAGCCAGATAGGGTGGAGTTGAGAACCTAAGCCAGAGCCTGTTCATTTGGCCCCAGGCTGAAGGATAGGAAATACTCTGAGCCAATCTAGCTTCAGATTTAAAACTACTACGACTAAGAACTGCTAATGCGTGTTGAATTCTTAGTACATGCCAGTCATTGGGTTAAGGGTTTTACTTACAAACACAGCCTCTTTTCTTTAAAAAAAATTTTTTTTGTTTTACTTTGTTATTTTTTTTTATTTGATGAGAGAGAAAGGGAAAATGAGAAAGTAAGCCACCAGATTCAGGACTCAAACCACCGTTGGCCATGTGGGAGCACCTTAATCACCATTGCCACCTCCTGGCCCCAAACACTGCCTCCTTTCACTAAAATGAACCATATACTGTGGAATTTTCTTTACTTCAACTGGTTTTAGGAATTGCAGACATGGAGGGACTACAGCTGCCATCTAGGCTAGCCTCTGCTCTGTTTGTTTTGTTTTGTTTTGTTTTGAGAGGTTTTTGCTGTAGGGAACGTGCGCTCGCCAGAGAGACAGAGAGAGAAGGGGAGAAATCCCCCCCCCCCCCAGGGAGATGGCCACGCAGCAATCCTTTCTCTTCCATTCTCCTCTCAGGATTGGGCATGCATGCACATGAGCCCGGCATGAGTTTAAACCACCGGGTCCAGGACTCAAACCATGGTCGACCATGTGGGAGTCCAACAACGTAGCCATTACGCCAGCTGCTGGTCCCACCCCTGCTCTGGTTTTACAGAAGGACGTAGGTGAGTAACTGCCAGACAGAGAGCCTCCTGAGGGTCCACAGGTCATTCTCCATCATCTTTGCAGAGACAGACCTTGAGGAAAGGGACTGTGCCAGGGTCTTATAGAGGCAGATGTTCCCCAGAGCTAAGATGGGCCCTGGGAGCTATGGCTTAGGCTTGGAAAGGGACTCCTCAAAGCTACCAGCTCTATAATCGCGTGTGCATGTGTGCAAGTGTGTGTATGCTTGTGTGTATTGCCTTTAACAAGTCTTTTAGGTGCCAAACTCTGTGCTAGTCTGTCCTGTTCACATATACATTTTGTAATCCTCACAGCATCCTGATGGGTTAAGTATTCTTGTTCTCTTATTTTATAAATAAAATAGGAGCTAGATGGTGACACAGCAGCAGTGCTCAACACTCTGCCAGGCTAACCCATGTGGAAAGGTTCCAGGTTCATGTCCAGAGACTCCTTGTAAAGACTGGGCACAGATGGGTCTGTGATCCAGGAATGTCTAAGGCTAGAGGTGGATCCCAGCATCGGGACCCTGTTGAGAGTGCCTCTCTCTCTGTCTTATTCACAGAGGAAATAAACAAACTTAAATAATGGAGGAGAGGGGCCAACTCTCTGATGTAGTGATTAAGCAGCCAAATCTCACATGGCCAGCATGGCTGGTCAAGTCCCAGATCCTGCATCTTGAGAAACATGCCAAATTGTGTGTGTGTGTGTGTGTGTGTGTGTGTGAGAGAGAGAGAGAGAGAGAGAGAGAGAGAGAGAGAGAGAGAGAGGAAGAAAGAAAGAAAGAAAGAAAGAAAGAAAGAAAGAAAGAAAGAAAGAAAGAAAGAAAGAAAGAAAGAAAGAAAGAGAAAGAAAGAAAGAAAAAAAGAAAGAAAGAAAGAGCCTAAAATCCCAACAGGATAGAAAAATAGAGACAGGATTGTGGCATGATCATTCCCCATGGAGGAGTGCTTTCTCTTGTCCCCTTTTCTCTGTCTCTCTGTCTCATTACTGAGCATATGTGCCCTCTAGAAAAGAAAAAGGGGGAAAAAGAAAATAAACATTATGAAGTGAAGCTCTGAATATCCCCAAAGCCCAACTTTTTCCTAAGTAGAACACTCTGTTTCCACTGTTGTTCATGTCCACTGCCTATGCCCTTTCCATGGAGGGACCCTCAAGTCAAGTTCCATTCACTTGTTATGGTTACAAGTCATCAGAACTCTATGTGCTTCACGCTTTCTCCTGCAAAATAAATTGTTCTTGATTTCTCTTTCATTAAGGTACCATGTGTGATTTGACATGCTGTAGCCTGAGGGGAGATGAGGGGAGATAATCCACAGACTGTTAAAAGAAACTGAAAACACTGGGGTGACTTATCCCCAAATGAGAAGACCCAATGCTTTGTCTATAATGGCACAACTATCATAGAAGAGGGAACCATCCACTCCCATCTCTAGAGCAGGATTTAAAGACCAGCACCGAGTATCAATTAAGGCCTTAGGGCAAATGTGAGGAAGGGGCACCAAGCCGCTGTGCTCAACCAGGGCAGATTCCCAATGTCTACGTTGTGAAGTGGCTCAAGCTGGTTTCATGGGGTCTGCTGGACCATCTACCCTTAAAGATAATGGTAGTTGGGGAACATAGGATGAGACAGGGCAGAGGAGGGCATCCTTGTGCACAGACACAGTATGTGGCTCCATTTC